AGTGAAGGGTTGATCTGGGAAAATCTATTCAAGTAAAATACTAATAGCAACCACTTAGAGCCTGGCATGAACACTAGTAGTAGAGGGTTGCATTACTATTTGTATGAATTATTTTAAAAACAGTTAATTTCTTAGTTTAAAATGGGCCAGGCGCATTCTCAGAGCCATTGTGTCTTTTTCCATTTCATTGTTTTAAAACTGCACCTTTTTTTTCCCAAGATTTAACCTTTGCTAAAGCATAGGGCTAAGACACAATCACAACAAAACACCTCCCCCTTAAAACCAGTACTTCAGAGCCCTGTTAAATCAAAAGAAAAATTCTTTCTCTCCTCCCCATTCCCACAGCCCTCAGGATTTTAAATGGTAATGATCAGTTCATTTGAGAAAATGGCATTTTAGTGCTTCCCTTCACAAGCTCTTAAGGTGTATAAGGTGTCTCTTTCCCAGTGATGTGCACCTCCTTTTGTTTTCTAGCATTACTGGAACTGACCTGGCATGGATCACTGGGTGAGCAGGCAATCTTAAACACTTCTCATATAAATTACTGGTTCCTTTCCAAGTGCAATTGCTCACAGGGTAATACAGCATTTTACAACTCTGATAGCAAAGTCTCTTCGTTCTACTGAGTTCCACACCCCCCACTAATCCCACCACCAGGAAATGTACAGACAAAAAGACTGATGGAGATGTGAACCTCAGAAATGTAAACTCTGGTTCAACTTCCAGTACGTACATAGTGGGCAATTTGGAATACTTCAATTCTTCTCTTCCCTTCTTGAATTGTCAAATATTATTTTCTTGCTTTAAAAGACACCAGTGAAAATAAAAATATCAAAATAACATACTTTACATATGTAAAAACTAAAAAAAGTGAGCACTAATGAATATGGACAGCTATTAAAATGTATTTTTAAAAACTTTCCAGAAAAGAAAATAATGCTCACATTTTATGATTTATGTTTATTAGATAGAAATGACACACTGTGCTTCCATGCAAATGAAGCTTATGTTAAATAAGCACTCCTAGATGCACTGGATGCTAATGATGGCCACATTTTCCAAACCAATGTCTTTTTTCCTGTAAACTCTAATGACAAGGTGTGTTTTTACTGTCAGTTGACTTGGATCAGAGCATGCAGTATTGTATTTCAGGTTGTGGCTCTGTAAAACCTGTAACTTTCTTTGAAGTTAAACAGTGTCAGTCTATTTCCATGTCTGAATAACTCTTAGAAGAACCTGCCTGACCCAAGTCAACTCCTTGAAACATACTATTTCCCCATAATTGATGTTCCAAATGAATGTCCTTTCATAATAAAATGTGCTGGAAAACAAAACAGCTTTGCATCCGGCACAAGTTGCATCATAATTAAATTTTATTTTATCCCATCGAGGCATGCTAAATGTTGAGCAAAATATAATTTTAAGTAATTTGTTTGTATTCTTATCTGTAGGAGTTGGAAATTAACAGCGTTGCTAGTTTGCGTTTACTGTTAAGCCTGGAGAGCAGAGAGATTGCTTTGCAAACATTACAGTTATTATGTCTGCAGTTGGTACTCTTTGTATAAATTATTGATCAGCCAGCTTATTTTTCTTTCTGCTTAATGGATATTATAGCATAGCCGTTTACAACGCTATAGTTAAGGTTGTGTCAGCACTTCCATTATAATAAACCCTCTGTTACAGGGGTTTATAACTTGTTGTAAAAATTTGCTCTGGGCTGAAACTTGACATACAAGATCTCAGGCTAGAAGGTGGCAATTGTTCTTCTTTCAACTTTTTAAAAAATCTCTTTGTTCTGGAAGGCAATAAATAAATAAACACTTTATTCTTTACTAACAATCCATGAAATTTCTGACTTCAAATAAAACAATTTTTATAGGCTATTTGTTGGACAATGACCTCTTCTTTTAAGCATAGAAAAAGAAAAAGGACCAAGATAATAAGTTAAAACAACAAAGCATATAGAAAATCAACAGGAACTTTTATAATCAAGTAAAATACATTTCTCCTAATGCTGAAAAACTGCCCAATAATTTATGCTTCAATATCAAACAAATTTTTATGCTACAACAGATTATATATCCTCTCCCCATCTCAACTATGTCTCTTGAGCAATTCATATGCCTTCATGATGATCTTCTTTAGAGGAAAGCGAGTGTTGGGTTATTTAAAGAGAAAAGAATATGACAATTAGAAAATGCCATACATTAAAAGGTACAGTTACAAGTACAATGTTTATTACAAAACTAGGGATTTAAATATCTGTCTGACTTTTTGAGCTTATTTCAGTCGAGTGCACCATTCCTCTCACAATGACCTGATTTAAGAGATGAAGGAAATTAATCTCAATCTGTATTATTCTTGTTGCTGCCTCCTTTTACAATCTGAATCTACAATGATCTTTATGTGTTTATTTTTTTAATTGAATAGTAGGCTGGGCAACCCTTAATACCAAACTACAGAGGAAATTAAGGACACTTAACTGGAAGAAAGTAGTATAGGAAAGTATAACTACATTATCATGGAAAATTGACCATGTGTCATAGAAGTGATGCAGTTTGAAGTGAGGGAAGCAATTCCAGGATGAATTTATTTTATGTGTAACTATTCTTCTTGCCAGTACCCTCTCTCTTCAGTATGAGTTTAGAGATTTCTCAGAATGTACCCCATGACCAGTGAAGTATTTTTTGCCACATGTCACCTTCATCCTGAACCAGGAGAAAAGGGGATGAGGATGGGTTAGGGAGGGACTAACAGTGGTGCCAAACTGCACCATTTGTCTATGGGAACTATGTAAAGGTGAATGTGAATAGACAATTGCAATGCATTCAGTAAGTATATATACACAGTCTATGCATTCCTATGGTGTAAAGCAGAGCAGAGCTATTTATAACTATTTTAACCACTTCTTTATTAAGAATAAAAGTTGGCAATATAAAGTTTGAGTGCTTCAAATTACGATTTGTTCTCCTTCAGCTCCCCACCTTTTGTCCTTTGGGTAATTCACCATCAAGCTCTCTGTGCTTGATTAGAGAATGCATCCTTAAGTCTTGTGTTGTACTTCAGGAGAAGGAGGGCAGTGGAAAAGAGAGGGAAGGAATGGAAGTGAGAGTCACCAAAAGTCAGAGGCTGGAAGGAAAAGTGGGGAGACAGAGTCTGAAAGTGTAAAAGTAAGGAAGTCTTTGCTTAAGGTAGTTGAGGTTTATCTGCTGAGCTGATTGAGGAGGCTGTGTGACTGAGTTAAAAAGGCTTGAGACAGTCACTTGGCATAATTTCTCCATCTTCAATGATTTACTACTGAAGTGCAAACATCAATTTTGGATTCTCTCCTGAGAAACGTTTAACAAAGTCAGTGAACTACTGGTACCCTGATATCTTTTTACATTTGCCAAACTTTGATAGCTCTTTAATAAACCTATGCTTGAAGTTTATCTTTTTTTTTTTTTTTTCTCCTAAGGAAACAGGTCCATTAGTAAATATGTAGATGTAAAAATGATCTTCCTCTTTACTTCTCTATTGTGATGTATCTTGGAATTGTTGAGAAATGCACTCTATTGTTAAAGCTATTTGTGCCGGGTGTGCTAATGCACTCTTTGATTGAGTGAATTAGCAGTCATAACAATCTGGCAGTCTGGCCATAGAAGTGTGCTCAAATTGATTTGTGTTATGGCTGGACTGGAAAATCTCGTGTTAGTTGTTTTTTGCCCTGGGGCATTGTTTGTACCAAACTCCACTTTTCATTTAATTTTCCAATACATTTTGAAAGATTGAAATGCTTGTGATCAACATTTGATCTACTTGCATTATTTAAAAAAAAAAATCTGAAAGTAATTTCAGATTCCAAAAAACCTTGCTTTCAATTAGAGTAAACATAATTAGAGTGACGTCGTGCTCAGAATGGTAAATCTCCTTTTGAATCTATTAAGCATTTTATCTCCTTGTCCTGTCACTGAAAGGGATTCATTCTATATCTGGAATATACATCTGTATGTTTTTGTGCATTTCTCTAAGAGAACTTGGGAAAAAATTAAAATAATAAAATTGCAATGAATCTTTTCTTCTTGTTATTTCTGCATATGCCCAAATTGTTTCCGTTTCACTTAGTGATGCTATAAAAAGAGGATACTCTAAGCTTTTAGGAAAATTTGAGATATTCAAGAAATACATTCAGATATATATTGCCTTTAAGTTACTCCATCATTTTAGTTTTTTATATGCTATGAAATATGCATTTCCTTCTTTTCAAATAATGATATCAATTATTATATTGAAACTCTGAAGGTTTAAAGACATGACTTATCCTGGCTTTGTCAATATTTGTATCTTTCTTACAATCTTCTGCTTTGCAGTCGTTTACCAGAATTATAATGCAGCATGAATAAACCTAAAAAAATGACTATTGATTACAGAGAAAGCTTTGTGAAATCATTTAGTCAGTTTCCCCACTTGAGAAATCAGTGAATAAAATAGGTCAATAGATAAGAATGGAATGGATGTAATACAGTGCTGTGCTTCCCTGGGTTATAAAAAGGGTCAAAAATAAATCTCCATAGAATTCATGTTTTCATACTCATAAAATAAAATGATACTTACCAAATCCCAACTCTAAGTCCATCTTTCTACAGATTTATTCTTCTTTTTTAAACCACAGGTTTTGAAAGTATGTTTTTATGAGTCCCTGTTTCATTTCCCTGTCACTGCCCCTTTTAACCAAATAGGATGCCCTCATCATCGGGCTAAAGTGCCTGTTGTCATCCAGGTATTCATCGGGACTTTAGCTGCAACAGCTACTTTGTATTTTCTTACTGTCTCTTGCAACCTTACAGCTCTTCTCAAAACTGCATTTCATACTGTACTAAACTCTGCATCCTGTGCCGATTTTTGTTAAGTAATAGATAGCAAGACCTGAGACCACTCTCTCGGTTAGTTCCCATTCGTAGGGATCTCGTTGTCCGGCGGGGGTTGGGGGGGGAAGGGAGGACGGGGAAAGGGAGGGGAGGGGCCAGAAGGGGGTAGAGGGAGGGAAGAAAATACCTTCCCTGAACTAGTACAAGCTAAGCTTCAAACGATATCCTAGGAAAGAAATTAAAGACTTCTTAATTAGTGCAGCAATTAAGCTTTCTTGGTAGCATTTTAATCAGCACAGGCCCTATCAAAGGACAAACAGAACGATTTGCAGGTCTTTGAATTTTAAACAGTCTTATTGATTTCAGCACAATACATCTTCACAACACACAGGGAGAATTTTCTAATATCAGTTACAGTACTTTGAGTTTTGCTTATGCAAATTGAGTGAAGGTTGGGGAAGATGAGATGGAGGGAAAGGACCTGAAACAAGCGGAGATGTAAAACAATAAACAAGCAAGACAAAAGCTCTGAAAGCTAAATATGCAATGGAGTGAGAATTCAAAATCTCTAAGTTGATTTATCTGCTGTTGTTAAATAACTGTTTGCCTTATTCATTGGCAACATTGCTCAAAAAGAAAGAAAGAAAAAGAAAAAGAAAAGGAAAGAAAAAAGATAAAACCTTCAAAATTGTCAAGGTTTTTATTTCCTACATATTTTAATTTGTGCTATATGTCTTTTCTAATCCTATTGTTTGATCGAAGGGGACCTGAGGTCAGGGGAAGGAAGTCTCCAGAGCTCTCATTCAGGTTGGGGCAAATGTCTCTAAGCCCTGCTTCTGAGTGGAGCACGTGCTCGAAGGCAAAGGTTTCCCTACAGTAGAAAATTTGGAGTTTGCTTCGAAGCAAGGTGGGATTATGGCTTGGACTGCTATCATTACTTCCTGTCTGTAGCTTCTGAATGTGGCAGGTATTGGGTGAGTGATAGTTTAAGGAAATGTAAAAAATGAGAATGGTAACGGCAGATGCTTGACATTTAATTCCCATTTTTCCATTTGTGGGTCTAGAACTTAATGAAACTATAGTTTAGTCTTTTAAAACCATATCAAAATTTATTAAAGTTAGGCGTAGAATTCCAAAATAAAATTAGCTTTTCAGGGCTTAATACTTTCTTCCTCCCCTCCCCTCATTAACATAGTAATTTGGCATATCTTAAAAAAGTAATATTTTCTAAAACATGCAAAAACACTTAAGGAAGTGTTTTGATAAATGCGATATATATTGAATTCCTACTTTTAACTGATAACATATTTGAAGACTAAAACATTAATAAAAAATATTTCTGAATGTATTACAATGCATTGGTTAACCAGGCCAAACAACTGTGTAAACTTTAGTTGTCCTTGCGGAAGTTCATGGACTTTTCTGCAACAATCGATTTTCTGAATTCTTATCTCCCAGGAAAGCCTCCTGATTTAACTGCTATGTCCCAAAAAGTTTAGTAAAATCATACACTAATTAGTCCATAGTGTCATATTTCTATTTCTCGGTAGACAGTTCTTGCACTTTTTGACATTACGATTCACAGCGTTCAAAGGCTTAAAATGATAAAGAGAAATGTGATCATTTCAACACCAGAATGGTGAAAATTGTATTATAAAATTTCCCAACACTGTGAACCTACCACTAATAGTTTATTTTAAAAATCTGCCAAATGCTAAAGCATTGCTTCATATCTTATAAACTTAATGAACATGTGTAGACCGGTTCAAAGGCTAACTAACTGAAGATACTTGGAGATATGAGTAGCAAATAGATTTGACCCATTTTCAAATCACATGTTAGTCAAAAAATCCTTGAATAAATATCTCAATGCAACAAGTTAGAAAAAAGAAGAAAAGGAAAGAGGAAGGAAAGGAGGAAGAGAGTCCAGTCTAAACTCAGCCTCATGTTGTTTTAGGCACAGCTACTCGTCTTTACAAGTCAACTAGTGAGCTTTGTTTTTGTTCTTCTCATTATTTACAAAACATATATTTACTGACAAATTGAAAAGGACTTTCCAAAACTACAGCAGCACGTTTCAAACATGAAAAAAAAAAAAAAAAAAAAAACTATTGTGTTGTCCAAAAAACACATTAGCAGCTGGCCTTGGGTCTTAAAGGACATGAGGATAGTTGGTTACTATGTAAGACAGGTGATTTAATTACAGAGTTTTGGGTAAGAAAAGCCTTTTTCCACTTTCTAAATCTTCAAGGATGCCTTATCTCCTTGGTATCTCTAGGTTTAACAGGTATTTCTGACTGGCTTTTGGGGCGACAGTGAAGTTATTCTAAATCATCCACATCAAGTCAAGCATTTCTTTCCACAACCTATTAGGAAATATGGAATTGAATACCGAGCTTTCCATTATTCTTAAGCGATTTCGGACTGACTTTCTTCTCACCACTTGAAAACTGTCCTGGAATTTTTCACTATCTTTATATAAATAATTTAGTGGAGAAATAAAACAATCATATGCAAAAGAACGTTACGCTTTGCTTACATGTGAATTTTCCTCAAAATAATTTCTGAACAATTATGAAGTGGGGGCTGTGTTTTCATTTCTAGCTCATTGCCAAAACGCGTGGAGATGGATCCTAAATCCTTGAAGGAGAGCTCGGAGCGCTCTGGCTCCTGTTTAAGTTGGCGGGCGATTGTTAAGAAGCTTTGGAAAAAATTACCAGTCGCCGCGAACGAAATGGAATGTGAGACATGCAATCTAACGGTAGTAGTAGAAGAGAAGTAGATGATCTCCCTCTCCTTTTCCGATCGCCACTTCTGTGTCCCTGGCTTTTCCTCTCCGTCCCTCCCACAGTTTCTTTCCGTATCCTCCCCCTCCCCTCCTCCTTTCCTCGCACGCTCCCTTTCCAGTGTCTCGCGCTCTCGGAGTCTCTGCTCCGAGTTCCTGGTTGGATAATTTGGGTTAATACTAGTGAGTGAGGTTTTTGCGGCTTCAAAGGGTATTTCAAGTTTCCGGAGCTCCTCCCCTCTGCACCGTGTGACAACAACAACTCGTCCAGCCGGCAGCCTGCACTTTTCAGCTCATTTTCTCTCTGTCATTCCCCTCTCAATCTTTGATCAATGTACTTGCCAGGGAGAGCCCAAGTCCTTCAAACCTCCTCCTTTTCACCTTCATCCTTAACTTTGTGCTAGACCGGGACCCACACAACAACAGCCGACCCTCCCCCCTTTCCCCCCCAAACCAGCCCTCGATCCCAGCCCCCGGAGAGGACTCGCATTTCGACTTGCGGGACACTTTTGTGCGTTTCTCTCCAGAGCGCCTCTCGTGCTCGCCCCTCCTGCGCTCTCTCTTTATTACCTTCACCTCCTTTTCTCCCCCTTCTCTCCCTTTCTCCTTCTCGTTCTCTCCTGGAGTTGTTGTTGTTGCCCCCCTCGCTCCTTCTCCCCCCTTTTTTCCCCTTCCCCTCCCGGGGGTGTGTGGCAACTTTTCCCCTCGCTTCTCCTCCGTCTGTTTCCCCTTATATGTGACCATGGCAGTGCCGGCGGCTTTGATCCCTCCGACCCAGCTGGTCCCCCCTCAACCCCCAATCTCCACGTCTGCTTCCTCCTCTGGCACCACCACCTCCACCTCCTCGGCGACTTCGTCTCCGGCTCCTTCCATCGGACCCCCGGCGTCCTCTGGGCCAACTCTGTTCCGCCCGGAGCCCATTGCTTCGGCGGCGGCGGCGGCCACAGTCACCTCCACCGGCGGCGGCGGCGGCGGCGGCGGCGGCGGCAGCGGAGGCGGCGGCGGCAGCGGTGGCAACGGAGGCGGCGGTGGCGGCGGCGGCGGTGGCAGCAACTGCAACCCCAGCCTGGCGGCCGCGAGCAACGGCAGCGGCGGCGGCGGCGGCAGCGGCATCAGCGCTGGCGGCGGCGTCGCCTCCAGCACCCCCATCAACGCGAACACCGGCAGCAGCAGCAGCAGCAGTAGCAGCAGCAGCAGCAGCAGCAGTAGTAGCAGCAGCAGCAGTAGCAGCAGCAGCTGCGGCCCCCTCCCCGGGAAACCCGTGTACTCAACCCCGTCCCCAGTGGAAAACACCCCCCAGAATAATGAGTGCAAAATGGTGGATCTGAGGGGGGCCAAAGTGGCTTCCTTCACGGTGGAGGGCTGCGAGCTGATCTGCCTGCCCCAGGCTTTCGACCTGTTCCTGAAGCACTTGGTGGGGGGCTTGCACACAGTCTACACCAAGCTGAAGCGGCTGGAGATCACGCCGGTGGTGTGCAATGTGGAACAGGTTCGCATCCTGAGGGGACTGGGCGCCATCCAGCCAGGAGTGAACCGCTGCAAACTCATCTCCAGGAAGGACTTCGAGACCCTCTATAATGACTGCACCAACGCAAGGTGAGTCGCGGGGGATAGCCCCCGCCACCCGGGCCCCTTCCCACCCTCCTGCTCACCCTGCCCTCGCTCCCTTCCCGGCGCCGCTCGCTCTGCGCGCCCGCGAGCCGCGCGCCCCGGCGAGCGCGGCCCTCTCCTCTCCTGCTCGGGGTTCGCCAGCCGCGCCCGACCCCTGAGAAGCTGGCACCTCACCCTGCCCAGACCTCGCTCTTCGGCCGGGTCCGCCCCTTGCCCAGTGGGTCCCGGGGATGGGCTGCTGTGGGACGCGGGAAAAGCCGAGCCTCGGGGCGGAGGGGACGAGCCGGAGGAGGAAGGCGTCTTTCCTGGAGCCATAGCCCCCTGCCCCGGGCGCGCGGGCGCCTGGAGACCCCTCTCAGCGCTGCCGTCCGCGTTCGTGCGCTCCCTAGGACCTGGGTTCCACCGCCCGCTTCCCAGCACCGACAGGGCTGATCTGTGGCGCCGAGCGCCGTCCCAGGGGCGGGGGGAGGTCGTGACCTGCTCCGCAGGGCTCGGGGAGCGGGGAGACGCGCTCCGGGTGAGGGGCCCGCTGGGAAAGGCGAGGGAGCGGGCCAGCACCGGAGGAGGGCACTTTGAGGTCGGGAAGGAAATGACCCGCGAGGCTGAGAGACCGGGGCCATCCCGGGGGATGAGCTCCGGGGAGCTGAGCTCCGAAGCCCGAAGGGGAAGCCCGTCGAGGGGAGGGGTCTGTGTGTTCGCGCATGTGTGCGTGTGTCCGCGTGTGAGTGAGTGCGTGTGCAAAGGAAATAAAGGGGTGCGGTGGCCCCGGGGCAGATGCGAGGGCAACCAGCAGGTTTTCTTCGGTAGGGGGAGGTGACCGAGTGCCCGAGACTCAATGGAAGCTGAACTGGAGAGATTAGGAAGGAAAGCCACGAAGCGCGCTTTCTCGATCTCTCTCTCTGTCTCTTTCTCTCCAAAGTGTGTTTTCTTTCTCTTTTCTTAAAAGGTTAGTAGTTTAAGCAGCGAGCAGGTGCACACTTTGCACTGGAATGCTCAGCGGGCCTGATACTCTGTTCCTTGGCTTCCCCAGCCCAGCAGAGCGCGCGCACGGAGGAGGCGGCGGGACCGGTCCCCAGCCAGACCAGTTTTATGCTAATGAACGCTCAGTGGGGGAGGATCTACCGAGAGGGGGCGGGAGTGGGGCAACTTGTCAGTTTCGGGTTAGAGATGATCATTCCACCCCCTTTCACAGCTCCGCTTTGTCCCCACGGTTCGCTGCAAGGAAGTGCAGAGGCAAAAGTTCAGAGTGGGATTCCGGGAGAAAGAGAATAGGGAAAGTTGAAGACCTGAAGCGGGCACGTGGGAACTGCGCGCAAAATTTGCGCGGAAACTTCGGTACCCTCCAAATAAGTTTGAAGATTGAGAGGAGGGGAGTTGGTGTGTGCCCCCGCAGAGACAGGGAAACTTAGGTGGAAAGGAAGTGTAATAAGGAGACCAGAAGGAAATTGTGTTGAAAAAGCGCTAGCTCTTTTTTCCATGGAGAAAGACTTCTCGCTTAGTGCCCGAGAAGGCTGAGAAAAGAAAAAGATTCGAATTCCAGTCCAGCAAATGTCCTATCCTGACCTAGCCAGAAATTCTTTTCTGTGTTTAGGTACCCTTCGTTCCATGGGACATGGGTGGGTTTGGGCTTTGAACCTTCGACTATTTGGGGGTAAATGCTGTGTGTGTGTGTGTGTGTGTGTGTGTGTGTGTGTGTGTATGCGCGCGCGCCCAAATGTATGGACAGGTGGCAGTAAAGATGGGGGGTAGTGGGGGTTGCGGAAGCAAGATCACTAAATGTCATTTACTCAGATAATTGGAGCTCTTGGTCGTGCAGAATATAAAATATTTGCCCCAAATCTATTTGAATCAGGTCAGAAAAATTGTTCTGGAGTTACGAAGAAAGCTAGCTGAAATTTGAAGCTAGTTCAGATATGATAGTTATAAAATTGTCTGCCTATCCAGTAAATTGGTGAATCGCTACTGTTTTTTTTCTCCTTAGTAATCAAACATCTACTCTCCTCGGAATCCTCTTTATGTGTTTCTTACAACACACTAGATACTAGATAATTAAAGTCCATTTCACATACACATACGTAAACACACAAAATTGCTGGAGAAAATTTCCTTCAGTGACTGCATTATAATAAGTGTTATAATCAGTGTTAAACTTGATTCATTCCCTGAATTTTTGCCTAGATTTTAAGTCCTCACCATGTGGTTGGAGAATATTCTTAAAGTTATTAACTAAATTTTTTTTCAAGTTTTTTTTCCTCCTGAGGTTAACAACAGATCTGGAGTTTAAACTTGCAGAGCCAAGATAAGTCAAATACAGTGGAACTGTTTATCTCTTCACAAATATCTTATCACTACTGTAATTATGTTTCAATCACCTGGCCTTAATAATTTGCAATTACATGTGTTGCTCTAAAACCCTATTTCAAGTTATTTTTAAGTTAAAGGCAGTAAGTTTGTTTATTTAGTATTGAATTTGATCATATGTCAACTAAAAAAAGCTTACTCTAACTTAAATACATGCAATATTGTAGTAATTAACTTGAGAAGGTGTTTAGTTGCAAATACTTACCTTGATTTTCCTAACTCTGCCACTGATTGAAGAAATCGAGAACTTGTAATGGAACTCTCTTTCACCAAATATACTGTTTACCTTATATTATTATTTTTAATGATTATAATAAGCATTATTGTCTTATTTCTTACCTTTGAAAGCTTTGAAATGTTTTGCATCTTGCATTTATAAAATTTTGATTACTTTTTCATTCAAGTCCAGTTTATATCTTTGCTATGAAGAACCTTATTTATTCACCTAGATGTATTGATTTATTTCACTTTGGTTTCTTTTTCCTCTAGCTACTTGACAGGCTAAGGGAGTAATTTATGTAGAGTATAAGAGAAGCTGAGCAAGAAGGGAAACTATATAAAAGTACTATATATACACCCATATATGTGTGTATATAATTTATATATGTACATGTTATAATTTATATAAAATGAGAAACATCAAATCTTAGCACTCTCAGCTTTTTACAGAATCTATATCTCTCTCTTAATAGCATGGAATAATAATACCAGGGATTTTGAGGAACCAAAATGATGTTACAGAAAAGTAAGGTTCATAAACTTGCTCAAAGTTTCTCAGTAAGTTAGTAGCAAACCTTAGAGTGGATTTAATTTGCTTGGGGCTATTGCATTAGTATGCTATCTATGAAAACTAGAATAAATGTTGAAGCCATCTGTCATTACCACAAGGAGATGAAAAAGAGACTATCACCTGCTAGACAGTAAAGCTAAAAAATAAAGGTCTCAAAACATGAAAGAAACCTAAGGAAATATATTTAAAAGTTGTCAAAGGGCAAAGTCTGTCCTTGATCAGCTTCCTCCAATTATTATTTTAAAACTAAACATTAGTTGCATGAACTTGGCTGTTGCAACAGAGGTCAGTTAATTAACTGCTTACCATTAAATAACAACAACAAAAAAGGAAAAGTAATTATGTACACGGTCAAATCTCTGTTTGTATGAGTCAGTTCCCTTTTTGTAGATTTGGGTTAGGATTCAATTTTCCAGGAATCCAGGTTTTAAAAAAGCGACCCTGTTTTATTATGTTATCTAAAATATTCATTTCTTTTATTATTGAAGATAATTTTGTCTCAGGATCTTTCAAACAAGATTGTGATGTAGGTTCTAAGTAACCCTCGATTTGAGGAGTATTTAACTTAAGTAGATTCCAGTTATTCTTATATATTTTATAGGTGCATATATATATTCACAAACAGAATTCTTTTGTCTTAAAATACCATCCATGGACAAAATATTGAAAGAATTTTATGTTTCCGTAGTAATATATGAATGAAATTGTAGTGTAAGAAGTACAAAATATTTTCCAATTCCTGACTCTATTTTTTTTTTTTTTTTTGGTTAGGAGTTTTAATAAAGATGGCAAACCGAACCAGTCTATATTTATTTAACATTTGCCCTGTTGACTGCTTTTCAGTGACACAGACTTATGCATTGATATAGAAAGTTTAACACAAATATAGATTCACTTCTAACAGATAATTACAATACTTGGCACAGAGAAATTAAAAGAATTGCTTCAAATGAAGAGACTCTGCTTTTGAAGTTTTTGTATTGCAGTAGATTAGTGCTTCCAATAACGCCTAATGTCTCATTTTATATCATTTCAAAAGAATAGGGCATAATTAGAAGACTAAAGCTTAAATATGAAAGTTTGCTTGATCCCACAACTTATTTCTGTATGCTTTGAAAGTGTTAGCAAATTACACTTTAATAACTAGTATATGAATAAAATATAAGAATATTCTAACCTAGAATTTACCTTGTTAAATCAAATTATACTGCAGGATATAAGTTGTTGAGTTATTTGGATAATCTCTTTCAAACCTGTTGTTTTTCTGGGAGTTAGTCTCTCATAACATCGTAGTTATTTTTGTTAAAAGTGAACATGGTTATGATGACACTTTACTTTCTGAACTCCACATTTAATGCTCTGATGTAAGAAATTTGATTTGCACATATAATATGTTGTTTTGTGAAGCTTCAAACATTATATAAAATAAACTACACGACAGGGTTTTTTCCTCCAGAAAAATTCTGGTATTCACATTTGACACATGATTTTAAAATCTTCATTTTTTTAGTCCAAATCTGCTTTTTTTTTTTGGATTATTCTACTAAATTTCACTCAAATTTCATGTCAATTACTTGGACAAATATTAGCCACCCTCTTTTTGCCTCACTACATCCCCCAACTCCCTGAGATGTGACACCCTATATTGACTAAAGTCTTGGCAGGATTTGAGCATAAATCACTCTTGTCTTTGGCGATTTACTACGTGTGATTCAATAGCATACGAAAACATAATATGCTTTATTGTTTCTCATTTGATGTTTTGTTTTTAGAATATAAGTAGCAGTTGTAAATTAGCTTAACGTGCAACCAAATAGTTGTTATTTTAAGAACA